AAAAAAAAAAAAAAAAAAAAAAAAAAAAAAAAAAAAAAAAAAAAAAAAAAAAAACTAAAACAGCACAATAACAAAACAAACTATTTCCTAATTGCAAAACGATTAGAAAGTATAAGAATCTCGAAGCATTCCAAATGCAATCAGTCCAAAGCACACATAAAAGGGATGGATTCGAACTGAAGTTTTATCGGAGAGGGAAAGAGATTCAGAAAAGCGTCGGAAACCGAGGGAAATCTTTGGAAGTGGAGGGGGATGATTATTTTTAGTTTGGTATTCTTTTGCCCTTTTCCGTTTTTCTCTTGCAAAATCTTCCTTTTGCGTCTTAAAACGCATTGACTATTTTATTTATACGAACAGTTGTATCAGTCAAATTGCATTTTCGCTTTTTATTTTTTCTTTTGTGTATTAAATTATACAAAATCGCCCCTAGGTTTTCATTATTGGGCTTAAAATTTGTTTTTTTTAATTAAATATAATATATAAAAAATTGATATATTTTTTACCATTTATTTTATCTTAAAATATATCTTATTTATTTACGTAAAATAAATCATAAATATGTCATCATTAAAGGGTTATAAATAGAAACAAATTCGTTCGTACTATCAGTAGAGTTTGTAAGACCGCGATGGATCCTTAGTACAAAAACTTACCTTAAATCAAACTTGTCTAGTCTATAAATATTTTGTATTTTAATATTTTTTAAATTGACTTAAAAATAATTATACATTTTTTAGTTCAACGATATACCTTATATTTCTCCGTGTTTTATTAATTCAACAATATACCTTATATTTCTACGTGTTTATTAATAAATAAGTGAAAAGTACCAAATCTAGACCCATTTGGATTTTAATTTTTAATTTTTGAAAATTAAATTTATAATCCATGTCAAATTTTTAAACCTAAAAATACAAGAATACCAAATAGTCTATTGGGCTTAAAAGTAGCCCAATCAACCTATTTTAGGCGGCGCAGCCCACAAGAATTGAGCCCAAAACAATTATTCTGTAAAATTGGGCCTACGGCTGTTCCAGAAAAAGAAATCACTATAAGAATATCTGGAGCGGCTTACGGAAATCATTTTGTTTATGCTAAAGACGTGAAATTTAGGGTTTCGTATTCTTTCCAGGTGCGCCTCCTTCGAATTTTCTAGGTTTGCTCTCCTCGAAGCATTCGACTCAAAATTCATGGCATTTTTCTATTGATTTTTTTTTTTAGCGCAATAAGGTTCTGTATAGTCTCTATTTAGATTAAACAAATAGTTACTGGTTTGTTAATACTGTCACTGATTGTGGTGGTACTGCGATTGTCAATTGTAGACAAAATGCCAAGGTACGACGATCGTTATGGTGGTACTCGGCTCTACGTTGGGCGCCTGTCTTCACGGACGAGGTCCCGTGATCTGGATGACTTGTTCGGTCGTTATGGAAGGTATGCAGAATCTAGCCGGATGTACCGTACCGTTCAGCCGTGGTCGAATTTGTATGCTAACATTAATTTGTTGAATTCGTTAAGTGTATGTGTGTTTAGCTATGCTGTATTTTACAGATGTAGATTCTAGCCGGATATACTGTTCATCTTTGGTTGAATTTGTGTGCCAACATTAATTTGTTGAATTCGAAATGTGTATGCGTGTTTAGTTATGCCTCGTTTACTTCTTTTGTCCCGGTTATGCTATTGCCAACATCATTATCAGAGTAAATTATTAATTGACACTTCTCTCGAGACCTCTTGAGGCATTTACCAAGCCCTATTTTTGGGTGCACGACTGTAAATGTGTATTTTGATATATCCGTGAAAGTGTGGATTGTTGATGGGTCTGTGTGGTTTAACTTGAGTGATCTTGTTGAAGGTTTTTTGGCTTATGTCAAACCTGGAGGTCTATGGTGAGAGGGTTCCCTTGGTGGATTTGGCGAGTCTTTCTATTATGTTATTGCCTGTTTTTATGGAAATGCCAAGAATCTCAGAATGGTGTTTAGTTCATCTATGAGGGGCGAGGTGTCAACCCTTTGATACTTGTATCAAATGATGGCCTTACCTGTTTCTGGAACCAATTTGCGCAGAGTACGCGATGTGGATATGAAGCGAGACTATGCATTTGTTGTATGTATCTCCTTCCCTCTCCTTCCAACATTATTATTCAGGCTGTACTTTCATGGAAAAGTTGCTATTGCTTTCTTACTTTTTCTCTACTGTATGGTGCTTGTCAATTTTTGCAAGCGTAATATTTGTTCTTGGTCTATTTGCTCAAAACATCTGATATCAGGAGTTTAGTGATCCTCGGGATGCTGACGATGCAAGATATAGTTTAAATGGGAGGGATGTTCAAGGAAGTAGAATCATTGTGGAAATAGCTAAAGGGGTATGTACCATAATATTTCCAGACATAACCTTCCATAAACTGTGTAGTTTCTTTCAGACGGTTGCCATAACTGTTTCTAGCTTGTTATCAATTTTATCATTTTTAGTGCTCGGCTATTTCTCCAGTCTTTTGGCGGTTTCTGTTCTTGTATGTGCTAATATAATATTATTTTGGTACATGGAACTTGGAAGACATCCTTCATACAATTTCAGTTTTTTCGTAGTCACATTTGTTCATTTTTTTCTAAGGCTATTATGTGTTGTTTTCCTGGCTTGCTCTGGTGAGTTTATTTTTCTTATTTCTTGTATATTGATTTTGTGAACTCTTTTTGAATGTCATTAAATTTTCCAATTTTGATGTAGGTACCCCGTGGTCCTGGTGGATCTCGTGAATCTCTTGGTCGAGGCCCTCCTGGAACTGGGCGATGTTTTAACTGTGGGATAGATGGCCACTGGGCTAGAGATTGCAAGGCTGGAGACTGGAAAAATAAGTGCTATCGCTGTGGTGAACGGGGTCACATAGAGAAGAATTGCCAGAACAGTCCTAAGAAATTGAAGTATATCATCTTTTCAAATTGTTTTCCTTCAGTAAATTTTTTTTCTCCTGTGGATCATTCTGTGAAAAAACTGTATGGTACAGACGTGGAAGTTACTCACGTTCACCCAGTCCTCGCCATGGTAGAAGCCGCAGTCGTAGTTACAGCAGAGGTCATAGCTACAGGTTTGTTTCAATTGAACCGTTTTCATGTTTTTCTTCACATTGCCTCACACATGAGTTTGTTGATTCAGTTTTGAACTTTTGGACTTCATTAACTAACTTCCCGAGAATTTGTTTATTGTGTCTACAGTCGTTCTAGATCACCCGTGAAAAGAGAGAGAAGCCTTGAACGATCAGATAAAAGATCAAGGAGTCCGAGAGGCAGGTCAAGCCCAAAGAGGCACAGTTTGTCACCTCCTCCTTCGAAAGCTATGAAACGTAGCCCCACACCTGATGAGAGGAGTCCAGAAGAAGCAAAACACAGTCTGTCCCCTGGAAATCGCGCCAGTCCAAGAGGAGGTAGGAGCAGCAGGAGTCCGAGAGGTAGGAGCAGCAGGAGTCCGGGAGGTAGGAGCAGGAGCATAAGTCCAAGAGGTAGGAGCAGCATAAGTCCAAGAGGTAGGAGCAGAAGTCCCAGAGGTAGGAGCAGAAGTCCCAGAGGTAGAAGCAGGAGTCCAATAGATAGAAGCAGGAGTCCAATGGATGAAGGCGAGGAGGACTTCAATGGTGGTGGAAGTAGGAATTATCGGAGGGAAGAAAATGGCTACAGTCGCAGCCCCAGTCCATTGCCCAGAGAAGAAGCGAGTCCTGTAAACGATGAAGATAATAATGGTTCTCCAAGGGGGGGCAGCGAGTCTGCTTAATAAACAGTTCATTATTCTGCGTTTGCGTTGGAATATGATAAATGACTTGTGCCTAAGAGAGACTTCTAAAATAGAATTGTACTGTGATTTTGAATCCCATCTCAAATGTTCATTGGCACCACATTTTTCGCCTATTTGTCTTCCGGCTTAGTTGTGATAAATTATGTATAATCATCTATTTCGCTTAATCTTCCATCCTCTAAAACTATTCTTTTTTTATTATCTGATTTGATTAAAACCACTTTCTCGATCAAGTTAGAACTTGTGAGTTGGCTAGGGTACTCTGTGTTAGTCTAACAGAACATCGGACTAGACAGTCATCAAAATAAGTGATTATTTTAGTTATGGTAGTGACTATTAATTTTTAATACTTCAATTCTTCTAAAATTTTAAATACAAAAACAAATTATCACAAACTAAAGTTTGCAGACTAAACTGTTAGTTACAGAATCTACAATGTTTTTGAATGTCTATTTGATAACCAAGAATTTCTTTTCGTTCTAGAAAAATACCACTTTTATTAAATGTCATGCCTAAGTCAAATTACAATGTTCCACCCAACAGTGAAGCGATAAGAGCAACACAAAGAACACTAGCTATAGTTTAATTTACAAGTCATCATTCTTCGAAAATGCAAGGAAATATGTTCTGTAAAAATCGACTTTTTTTTTTTTTTTTTTTACTGAACATTGAAATATGGTTTTCCACAAGTTCATGGGGGCCATATTGATCACCAACAGTAAAGAAACAAAGTACAGAGACGAAAGGAAATGTGGATTCCATCTACCAATAATATTGCAACGCTATGATATGTATGCTTTCACCAGCTCAGAATAACTGCACACAAAGCCTGTTCTTGGACATGTAATTTTACCGCTGTTTTCCTTGGCCATTTTTTCCAGAGCCTGCCACCACCAATACCAAACACAAACTAAACATTTCAAAATGAACTTGGGTAGAAATTTCAGATTATCTTATGCAAACAAAATGATACTAACCTTGGCGCTGTAGACATAACCATTCGGAAGCACTTGTGGCGGGTTCTCGGTGTCCATAAGCTCTTTCGTTATGTAACACACGAGCTTTGAATGATGCTGCTTAGAATAAGGCAACGGCACTGCCAGCTTCCTAAAACTTTCTTGCGATAGTGGGTCTTCCTTGGTGCAATCATCCTCATAGCAGTATCTAAGCAGGTCAAGGCAAACTTATCTGTATTCATACTAGAAGAGTGAAAGATTATTTCAGATGCAATCACTTTTAGGATTAAATTTAAGACGACTATGGGAAGTAAAACTTTTAGGTGAAAAACTTCTATAGGTACTTTTTGAACGAGCACCAGAGAGTGCTCCAACCTAGAATTTTTAGAAGCACTCCTCACTTTTACAAGAGTTGGCGTGCCAAGTTAAGGGGTTTTTTTTTTCTTTTGTTTCTGCATGTCTATTAATTAGATGAAAGAGTTAAACTGCAGTGAATGTGAATCACACGTATATGAGACAGTAATAAGGGATACGGAGTTTTGAGAGCAGACAAGCCTGCTTGCAGATAAATATTTAGCAATGGCTCGAGTGTCATGCCATATATTTTGCAGAACTCTTGTCTAAATACATCCACAAGATGATCCCACTGCTTTGGTTCAAATAAGACCTACAAAACACAAAATTTAATACACTTCATATCAACTTAGACAGAGTACAAGGTTCGATATCATGAACAAGCACAAGGCCAGAACAAACCATCATATTCTAGAAGACTAGGATAACCGCACTTGCATTCTTAAATTCTTTCATCTAAAATACTTTAAGGACAGATATTACGAACATAAGATTTTCCCAAATAATGTTTCACTCGTAATAGCCACGATGGAATCAAAAGGGAAATGGAATTAGGAGGTAGAAAATGATGAAACAGGAAGGAAACGAAGCATTATTGTGATTTTATACATAAATAGTAAATCATAATCAATTCTGAGTGGCATCCAAGGAGAGGAAGAAGAACGGACATTCAGTCATCATGGGGAAAAGTAACAACAATAGCTAACTGTCACTTCGATAGGATATAATTTTCCTCAAGTGATTATTTATAGTTCAAACTAACATAAAGTTTTAAAATATAAATTCTTGTTAGTCAGAAAAAAGGTGTAGCTTTCTGTTCTAAGCGCTAATGAAATTAAGTTGTGCAAACTGATAGAAACAAGATAAGATGATTCACCTTGTATATGGCACACTCAGTACTACTCTTGAAAGCCAATGTTGCCATGACCCGCTGCAGTTCTTTCATATGGGTGGCTCCCCAGGGAGCAAGGTACTTCCGTGCATATGTAATAGCTTGCATATTCTTGTCAGCTCGTACCAATTCTATGAACTCTTGAAGCCTCAGTTGAAACTCAAATTTGCTCTGTCATCAATAAAAATTATTTAGTTATGCAAGCTGAAAGAACTCACGTAAACCAAAACTGCATTTGAAATCGTTCCAAAAATTCAGTTACATGACAATATATTGGCAACAGAACAATAATATCTCCATGGTACATTACAAGCATAGAACTAATTGCCACATATTGTAAGAGAATATTATAACTATAAATTTGAATATCCACGAAAGAGTAAGTGGAATTTCCTTTTAAAATGGATCAGATTTGAAATGAATTACACTACAATAAGAAATTTCTCAAAACCAATAATGACATTCACCCATTCTCTCAAGAATGGAAATATCCCATAACCTTTGCATCCTAATGCTAAAAGTTTCTAGTTACAATGTTCTTGATAAACAAATGGTTTTGTATTGGTACATATTCCTAAACTGAATACTCAAGTGTTTGATTGGTTTTTATTGAACGACTACACTATAATTCATTGTCTATGCTTCATCCTTAAACTAGTTTTATATTGATACAATTAACAAACCAATGGTATGATGCTGAAGAAACTGACATGACTTAATGGTAACAACCAATTATTGCTAATATCAATAGATCTTGAACAATCATCCATCGAGTGATCAATTAAAAACACTTGTACTCCAAAAAAAATCTTTATAAACAATACTTTTTTTTTTTTCCCATAATAGAACAGATAAACAATAACTCAGGAGTTAAAAAAATTGACCCCAGGCCATGTTCAACCAATGATAATTATGAATATTGGATGCTCCTCTAGAATTAAATTCTCAACACATCATTAATAATTTTTTGAGAGGACAATCCATTATTAATATTGATTCCATATACCTTGAAAAGCTACCTAAATTTCAGAAAATATAAGAACAAACATGAATTTACTTCAAAAGGAATAGCCTTCAATTAAACCCAATTTGGTACAGAAGATTCACAAACCCAACAGAGACACCATACCTATTTATTTTTAATTTTTATAAATAAATGACCAAGTTTTCATTGAGAAACCATACACAATTATACTCCCAGCATTAAACAATTTCTAATACAGTTGCAACAAAACACATATCAAGCCTAAAAGAAACATAACATGACAAACAAATTATAACACAAGAACTCAACTGCATCATTATTGTTGATATACCTTGGAATGGATCAGTTATGTAAATGAAAGACTCTTGAGAACCACCACATATACCTTGGACTTCTTCAACCTCGACTTGTTATCAGAACACCAGGAAAGTGCAGGTGCTATCTCCTTGTTCTGAAGGGCATCAATAACCTTTTTGGCTTCTTGAAAGACATCAATGTCGACAAGATCCTGAAATTTATGACTGACTAGTCAAAAGTAGATTGTATATTTCAGAATGCAAAAATATTTTCCTTTTTTCTTTCTTATTCTTCTTAACAATCAACAGATATTACATGCACTCTCAGAAGAGTTACACCAGAACAAGTGCTTTTCGATTAGACCCCCTTTTTTGTATAGTTAGCATTGGGTCTAGACAATCCCATTCTTGTGCTTCTTTTTTGCTCTCTTTAACATTCTTACATTTTATCTCAATGAAAATACATTTTCTGATTAAAAAATAAATTAAAGAAGAGCACAGGAATGTAAGAGCGTGCATTTTATCAGTTGATGCAACTGCAGTACATCTACAGAATACACATCCATCTTGTGTGAAATGGATCCCTTTTCAATTCCACTTAACTGAAACTTAGAATAATAAAATATCTGCCATAAAGTCGTAAACTTTCCTATCCATGTTCAATTTCCCATGAAAGGAAACACTTTTTTTTTTATCAAGACAAATAAAGATGGTACCCTAAACTAAAGTAACACTGACCTCAAATGCTTGTGTTCAAAATATTATAATAAAGAAACTCTTTCAAACGAGAAGTATCCTCGTTAAATCAGTATATAAATGATGTGCAGGCATTAATTCTTTAAAGACATAAGTGTTTACAGACAAAAAGAACCAGGACACTCTCAGCAGTTCAGAATCAAATTCAAGCAAGTGTAAAAACCTGAATATTGCTGCTCTCTGATAATTTCACTGCAGTGTCAAAATATGACATCCGCAGCATATAGTCCACAAGGATTCTTTTCAAGCGTGTGCTGTTCCATTCCGCCAAATTATCAGCATCAGCCGATTCTAAATGATCGAGTCTGGCGCGACACTTCTGTGCTTGCATCTGCTCGGTGCGATTGCCCTCTTCCAACTTAACAACAAAAATAAACGAAAGATAAGAGAAAGATGAGTTCTTTCCTTATCAGTCTATCAAGAAAGGGCAAACAAGTATATACATTTTTCAGTTAGTTAAACAGCAAAGTTCTCACTAGCTACCAGTATAGACTTATGTGCTTGCTCACTTTAATATTACGATCACCCTGGTCCGGAACCACATCAAATAATCCAATTCAATACTTCATCAATATTCAACGACACCAAGAAAATCCGGTCCCGCGAGTAGCATCAGATGAAATCATGGGTGCAATACGGTGATTCTTTTTACAAATAAGGCAAAAGAAACATCCTAAAAACAGCTATTCGTCGCTAGATTGACCTATTCCAAGATAATTTACAAAGAAGGTTCATGAAAAGAAATGAAAAAGAAAACCTAGAACCAACTACCTTTCTTTTCAACCCCTGCAATCTGGATACAAGCGAAGTGAAGTGATGTACGGCCTCTTCCCTCGACATGTTTTCGCGATCGGCGGCATCAGTAACGCTGGATATCACAGCAGAGACCTCCTTCTCAGCAACGCGATGATTAGCTCGAATCGTCTTCTTGTAGTGCTCAAAGGGAACCCTAAGAAATTGATGTTCCAGCTTTAGAGACTCAGCCAATCCGCTAAACTTGGAGGGCGTAGGGCTAATCGTTGCGGCTGCGGCATTTTCCATGGCGGTTTCAGAGGCGGAGCCGTTGGGAATGGCATCGACCTCCATAGACGCAAAGGGAGAGAAACAGAGACGTGGATTTTGGAGAGGAATTTTCTTTTAATTGTTTTGGACGAAAGGTACCGGAAATGAATCAGATCAACAAAATTATTATAATTTTTGGATTTCCGTAAATAATTATCATAATATGAACCAAAATTATATATATATATTTTTTTTAGTTTAATTAATATATATATATATATATATATATATATATATTTATTTATTTATTTATTTATTTATTTATTTATATTTAGCGGGACCAAAAAAAGATATAAATATCCCTTCGGACAAAAACTATCCTTTCCATAATGCAACAGAAAAACGAAGGAAGAGAAATCTTGACAATGGACGTTTGGTCGACGCAATATTCTCACTCAATTTGTCAGGTAATTTAGTCTTCAAACCTTCAATCATTGTCGCCGAACTGTAATTCCTGTGTCGCCGGTCATGTGATGCCGGCAACTCTTCGAGCAGTCGATGCTTGATTTTAAGTTTCCTGAAAATTCGCAATTCTGAGTTGTCTTTGGTGATTTGAATTTTGAATTTGGAGGAGAGGAGTCCATCGGTATGTTGACGAATTTATGACTGTTTTGATTTCTGCAATCAGTTTGATATTATTTGTGCGTTGTTTTTCATGTACTTTCTGAATCTCTTTAGTTTTATGAAATTGAGGAGGATTTTGTCGTCACTGTTCTTGCTGTTTAGCATATCGAATAGTGAGTGAAGTGAGAACGTGCAATTTTCTCTTCGGTTTTCTGTTGTTCTGGAGTTTCTTTATTGATGGAAGGAAATGTAGCAGTGAGAGAGGAAATTGACTCGATCAGAGCTGAATGCGTTGATGTTCGGGTTTGGTTTTGTTCTCGATGAGTCGTTTTTACAACCTCTGTTTTGTTTCGTGCATAATTTATCGACGACCAAATAAAACACAGTGAATGAAAACACTTTTTCGTAAGATTGATATATGTGTTCATGAACTTTGATTTTTGAACTGTTCTGCATTTTTTCGCGGTTTGTACATGGTGACGTTGTAAACTTTCGTTTTGGATAATTTCCAAGTCTAGTCATCTTCGTTAGTGAAACGATCTCTCTATCATTCTTCCATGTGTCAAAAATTTTCGTCGTTTTAATGGTAGAATTTTGTATTTATGTTTGTATCTTCAACGAGATCCCAAACCATTTTTGACATTTGCTTCCTATGTCTCGATTAATGATGCTTTTCTTTAGGTCTAGAGTGAATGTATTAGACACGGTATAGAGAAAAGTATTGGGATTGAAGGACAGAAACTTCAATAACCAACATCAGAACTGAAGATGAAGAAGTTATGTTTTAGATCGTTGCCACTTGCAATGGGAAAAAAAAAAAAAAATTAGCTCTTCCATCAACAATTGACAGCGAATCTTATTGGGAACATCCATTAGAGAGTAGGGCGAATACTTCTATCGGTGATGAGGCTGGAAGTAGTCCCCAATGTTCCAAGGACTTGTCTTCCAAGTCCAGGAAGCAAATAGATGATAGTGAAAGGTCCAGCACCAGTCCTAAACTTAGAAGGACCCGATCATTATCTTCCGCTGCATTTAGAGACCAAGTAGATCTCCTGGTAATGCTAGCAGTGGCTCCAGACGGCAACATGACCAGTCATCTTGGTAAGGATGTTTATTCTGATAAATATTAAGATCACGATCAGAGATCATATAGTTTGATGAAAAATGTATACTGAATTGCATGGAGAATATTATATATCTTTTAATTGGTTTTTATCATATTATTCTGTAGTCTAATTTGTGATCTCGTGGTTTTTACTATTTGTCAAAGTCCATCTCGAGAGATGAAATTCAAGGTAAAGCATGCGCAGATGGAAATGCCAAATGATTACCATACCTCGGGACCTGTTAGGCCATGCTCCAGAACTTGCTATGATTCTTCAGGAAATTCTTCCACTAGCTCCAGTAATGTTTCAAATAGAGTCTTAGCCCGCTACATTGATGGTGAACAACATCGGGAAATAAATGGATCCATGAATAAGTATTCTCAGAGAAGTAACGGGTGGCGACCTCCTCGAGAACAGTGTCTGCCACCTTCTGCAACAACAGCTAGTATTGCAGATAAACCCAGATTCTATTCATCAAGAGAAGCTAAATGTTCTTTTCCTCGTTTCTTGTCTGAAGAAGTGGGAGAATATGGATTTGGGAATGACTCACCTCGAAGTATTGGAAAGACTGTTGTTAATGTTAGGATTAGATTTGATTTAATCATAATAGATTTAGTCATATCGGATTTGATTATGTAACGCTATATAATAGCGAATTTCATTCTTCAATAGAATGAGAGATTTCTCCTTATTCTTATGATCTTTCCCTTTTTCTTTGTTTGTTCCTAACATTTAATATCAGAGTCATGCCCTAAACTAGTTAAAACTAGAAGCAGCGGTCTTCTACGTGTGTCATAATAAAAGTATGACGATGAAAATGTTGGGTTTTATGTCCTAAAAACTCATAGTTTGTAAACAAAAACATATTCCATTTTTAATAAAGTTATTATTGTTGTTTATTCAGTAAAGATTATTATTGAATAAAGTGAACTTTACGATCATTAATCTAAATCCAAGTATATGTAGAGACATAAGAGTTGATCAAGTTCAAGTATATAGTCAAAATGATCTATAGTATAAGGATAAGGCTGAGTATCTTATTCTGGGGACACTAAGGATGCGACCCACTTTTGTATATGATATAAACAATGTGATCACTAAATTGTATATGTGGAGACATGTGAGTGGGGGCGCCCTATTGAATGAGTATTGCATAAGGTCGGACCATAAAAAAAATCACTCTTACTTTATAATGTCGTTTACTGTTGAGACTGATTTTCTTTTCATTCGATGACCTAGGTAACTCGATCTTAATCCTGAGCTAACCATGAACTCCTGTTTATTCGGAATTATCCTTAGATTTGCTGATTTTCTTTTCATTCGATGACCTAGGTAACTCGATCTTAATCCTGAGCTAACCATGAACTCCTGTGTATTCGGAATTATCCTTAGATTTGCATGGGTGAGAGTGACTCAAGTTTGTCGACTCAATAGGCCTCCCATTTCAAGGGTAAGACTGGGTAAATGGTTGGGGACGTGGGGTGCAAAATGGAACTCACTCCTACCCACTTTTTAGGGATAGAAGAGAGGTAGTTCCCTTAAGTACTGATTCCAGGTCTTGAACAAGGGGCTCCACCCTCTCATTGGCTTGAGAGGGATTCGGTTTACTGGTTGAACCACAAACCAATTGTTCATTAGAGGATCAATGAGACATAAGAAACAAGAAGTAACTTCAGGGGTAAAACGGTAAATTGACCCAGCTCTAGTTACGAACAACCTGTGAAAGATCGACTTACTAATCATGGTTATATCAAATGGACATAAATATATCTATAGTGAGGGAGTGCAACTACTAGGCTATAGTGGAATGTCCTAGTAGTTAACGAATGTTGGTTAACAAGGTTAATGAGTTTAACTGGTTAATCTTGGATCATTGGAGCCCATGATCTATAGGTCCATTAGGTCCCTCTGCTAGCTCATATTGAACTAAACCATAGAATAGTGTGATGAGTGAGTTCGAAGTGTTCGAATTCAAATTGGGAGAATGCGCTACATATATACGATATATTTAACCGCATTTTTGTTTTATTTACGAATTAAACAATGAGAGAGAATCTGAGATATTTAAATAAGATTTAAATATCTTAATCAAATATGTGTCGGAATTAATTGGGATTTGAATTAATATTAAATATTAATTAATTATTTAATATTACTTTAATTTGAAATTAATAATTAAAATTGGTTGTTGAATCAAAATGAAGAAAGTCAAATTGTTACTTCATTTAATGAAAAAATACATGTTAGTGGAATTTTGAGGTGTCAAAATTTGGTTTAACCAAACTTGTATGCTTGCCAAATAAATCCCCCAAATTTGAGTGGAATTTTGAGTGTCAAAATTTGGTGATCTCAAATTTGCATGAACATGCAAAACATGACCTCAAATTTGCATGAACATGCAAAACATGACTCTGTAAATAGAGTGATCATAATACATGAAAGGTCCTCTTCTTAGTGAAAAACCTTGAGAAAAACCTCTCACAAACACTCTCTCATATATACAAAATCCCTCCCAAGTTTAAGTCACTCACCGAATTCCACAATCCCGTTCTAAGGCTGGAGGATAGTAGAGAAGACACTAGTGGTGGTTTGAAACTGGTTCGTGAGGAAAAAGGAATTTGAACTACAAAAGGCTAGTCTTCTGGAGGAAGGAGTCAAGGTCGTGGAAGCTTTAGAGGCAGAGGAAGGGGACGAGGCAAACAAACCTTCAACTAGGCCACAGTGGAGTGCTATAACTGTCACAAGCTAGGACATTTTCAATGGGAATGTCAAAGCAAGGAGAAGGAGACAAACTATGCAGAGATTCAAGAAGAGATGTCGTTGATGGCTTGCGTGAATATGAATAAGGCCAATAGAGAAGATATGTGGTTCCTTGACTCGGAATGTAGCAATCATATGTGTGGGAAGAAGAAATATTTTTCAGATTTTGATGGAAGTTTCAGAGATTCAGTGAAGCTGGGCAACAACTCAAGCAATGATGTAATGGGAAAGGGTAATGTACGACTGCAAGTGAAATCATACTGATAATCACAGGAGTGTTCTATGCGCCAAAGCTAAAGAACAATCGGCTGAGTATTGGAAAATTGCAAGCAAATGGCTTAGCATTTTGTTTCAAAATGGAACATGCAAGGTGTTTCATCCTGAGAGGCTTAATCATGGAGACAAAGATGTCTTTGAATCGAATGTTCCTACTGCATGCTATATCTCAGCCTGTAGCAGCCGTTCAAACTCAATTGAAACTTATGGGGAGACGTGGTTCAAGGTCTCTGTCGTACACTCACCGCTCCAATTCCTATCGCCATAGTTGGAGAAGTAGAAGGGACCCAAGTCCTTCCCTCTATCATTCCACTACCCGTTCCAGGAGAAGCAGCCGTTCAAGTTCCCTTAGCCGCCGATGCAAACAGAAGCTTAAGAAAGAGGAAGAAGAGAAGAAAAGGCGTGACGCAGAGTTGAAGAAGTTAGAAGAAGATGCAGCTAGGAGGATGGAAGAACTAATTCAGAAGAATGTTCAACTCTGAAGAGACTAAATTAGAAATACAGAGGCGAATAAAGGAAGGTCACAAGAAATTGTTTGATGATGTTGATGTGCAGCTTGAGAAAGAGAAAGAAGCCGCTCTTACTGCTACAAGACAAAAAGAAGAACAAGCATGGAAAGAGAGAGAAGAGCTAGATAAAATGTTGGAAGAGAATATGAGAAGGGTAGAAAAAGCTCAGTGACGATTAGTTATGGAGCTGCAGCGGAAGGAAGAAGAACAATATTGTGAGCTCGAGTTGATTCAGAGACAAAAAGAGGAGGCAACTCGGAGAGCTAAGTTAGATGATAAGAGTTTGAGTTATGTTCTGTTGGGAGTTAGTGAAGAGTCAAAAACTTACCGACTCTATGATATAGAAGCGGCCGATGAAAATAATGATATTTCCTCTGGCTCTTTGGCTGAAGCAAGCTCTCCTAGCTCGAATAAGGCGAGGAATAAGAGACCACCAGTCTGGATGAGAGATTATGCAATAGGAGAAGATTTTTGTGAAGATGATGATGAAGCAATTTGGATGAGAGACTTATGCAATAGGAGAAGTTTTTTTGTAAAGAAGATGATGAAGCTCACTCGGCCATGTTACCACTTCTAAACTTGTAAACTTTGAAGACACATTGATTTAAAGACGCGTTGAAGAGTGAGAAATGGCTCCCTAAGAGTGGAAGTTTGTTTGTTATAAGGTCGTAGATATAAACTGATTACTATTCGTATTCGGAAGAATTATTAGGATTAGATTAAATATAAACAGTTTTATTTTACTTCCTAGGATGGATTGAGTTCTCAAGACCATTGAGACAGAAACTATACTCTAAGAAGCTGGAAGTGGAGCAGTTGCAAGCTGAACTGGTGACAGCAGTAAGAGGGAATGACATACTAAAACGTGAAATCCAGAATGAAATGGATAGCCTTTCCTGCCTTGCTCATAAGATGAAAGATCGAAGGAGAGAGACATGCTTTTGGAGGAAGTAAACAGATATAGGGAAAAGAACATGCTACTGAACTCAGAGGTCAGAAATTGATGTATTGAAATCAAAGGTTAGATAACAATCTTGAAAGACACACTTGGGAATTTCGATTGCAGTAAAAAAAAAATAAACAATAGATGATGGAGGACATTTACTATTTTTACATCCTCACCATGTCCTGAGATTAATGTGGTTCTTTCGCTATCAATAATAATGCAGTTAAAAAAGAGGTTTTGATTTAGGTTGATTTTTGGCTAAATTTTATTATTATGATTTATAATAATAATAATAATTTACATACAAGACAAATAATTATTTTAAAAAATAAACTAAAAGTAGATCGTCATTACAAATTTGGTTCTTATAACAATAGATAGACTACGGAAATAAAGATTAGAAAACACATATATTTTTCATTTTTCTACATTTAAAAAAACATGTAAATAAAAATTTATTTATATTCGATACCTTATACTTGTTAAAGGTGAAGGCTTCTATTGCAAGTACAAGTTATATAAAGAAATAAAAAGTCCACTACTAGTAGTCTAGTGAATAGAAAAGTAAATATGTAATTTCAAAACCCATGAGAGTTGAGTAGTTCCAAATTTTAAGAAATTAGTACAAGCAAAATCAACTTAAATTCAAATACCAGTACTAAAATTTCTGATATATGTATATATTTATATGTATATTTGAACTCCATACTAATATATACGTATATATGATATACGTATATATGTATATGTATATTTGAACTCCATACTAAAAAAAAAAAAAAAAAAAAATC